AGATAAGCTCTGAAAATGTGGCTGTTGATGGGAAAATAACATCTGATTCAGCTCAGTGACAGTGACTGTCAAAACAGCTTCTTTAGAGCCTCTTTTAACCCGTAGAGAGGTTATAGATACATATTCAGTGATGAATGCATGCAGTTAGTGGCTCTCTGGATAGTTTCCTATTTTCCCTTCACTTGTAAAATCTTTTACAGCAAAGGTTGAGTGCTGGCTAAAAGAAAAACCAGAGCCATACTCATTATTAGTTGATTATGCTCTAAATTACTAAGGTGTATTGGTGTATTGGTGTATTGTGGTGTGTATATTTTATTGTATTCCATATCTGGAGTTTATTGGGGTATTATGATCCTGAAAGCTGTATCTTTTAATTACACTCTACATGTAAAAGCCCAAATAGGGACAAGAGTTGAAAGTTAATGCTCTGTATTGGAACCTTCAATTCCATCGTCTCTATCAAATAATAACAATCAGATCTGGAGACATTTTAGACAACAAAATTAACTTGACGTACATTTGAAATCAGGGATAAAAGAGTGAGAGCACACATAAGATAAGCTGAGGAGAAGCACATGATGGTGTGAAATTCACTGACTTGTGCAGGTCTTCTTGTCTTTGTTGAGTTTGAATCCTTTGTTGCAGTCGCAGGTGAAGACCCCGGGAGCACTGATGCAGATTTGTTCGCAGTCATGCTTTCCTTCGGCACACAGGTCAATGGCTAAATAACACAGACACACACACACAGTTATTTGGAACATTGTGTGTGATTGTTTGGGTTGTGTTTCTGCGTGTATGTGCTTCTAGGTGTCTTCATGCATTAGTGCAAGTGAAGCCAGAGGATCAAAAAACACTTGAATTAATTAGAAAGCACAAGAAGAAATATTTTACTGACCCAGTGGAGAAAGTTACGAGCTGCAGTTACAGTAAAGATATATCTCTTTTAAATAATCTGTTCATTATGTTTTAGATCGAATTAAGTCTAAAGTAATGTTTTTAAACTCCTTATTTACTCTGACCAACAGTCCAAAGACAGTCCAAAGAAGAATGAAGTCCAGAAGGATTTCCTTTACAATGACATGAAACAGAAAAAGTCTTTATGTTTAAGAAGCTGGAAGCAGCAACTGCTAACTGATTAGCAAAATGAATGAATGAATGAAAAATACTTCTTCCAAAGAACAGGCTGCAGGATAGTTGCACCAGGAGCAATTTACTTTCACTGTAAACGTGTGTTTGTTGGAGTGTGTGCAGCTGTGTATGTGTGTATTTGTGCGAGGGCCTGACTAACGTGTGCAGGTCTTCTTGTCCTCATTGAGTGTGTATCCTTCGTTGCAGTCGCAGGTGAAGACGCCGGGAGCGCTGACGCAGATTTGTTCACAGTCATGTTTCCCCTCAGCGCACAGGTCAATGGCTAAATAACACA